TTTGATACTCACAGGACAGAGTGAATGCAAAAGGGAAAGATGAAAGCAATGCGTAACCTACGTAGCGAGCTTCAGTAAATGAATGTCAGAACAAGGTTTAGGAGATATAATAAAAAGAAAAATATATATTAAGAGCTATAAAGAACAGGAAATTGTGGAGAGCCATGATCGCAAATGTTCTGAAGAGACACGGTGACTAGAAGATGCAAAGACTTAGAAAGGTGCATTGTCGGCGGATATTTTATTTTATTTTTTTTTGCATTTCGCTCCAAGCAAGGCGGGAGTGCCACTAGCACGCAAGGGGTTACAGAGGATTGAGAGCAAGAGTAAAGTGGGGTGTTTGAAGAAAGGATATACAGAAGGACGGGGATCAGGATCAACGCATCAGAAGATGTCGATTGACATTACATTTCAATATTTGAAGATTATAGCTATCAGGGAAGCAAGTAAGAGGAAGGGAGTTCCACTGTCGGGAAGTGCGAGAGAAGAAGCTGTTGGAGTAGAAGAGACGGTTACATTTAACTGTTTCGACAGTAAATGGGTGGGACCGAAATGCCAACCTAGTAGCACGCTTAAATTCATGCAGTTGGGGTATAATATTAACAACAGCATCCACAGGTGACACTGGTGGGGGCTGACTCAGGAAACTGAAAGAACTCGTGGATAAGTTCGTAAGGGAAAGGAAGATGAAAAAACTAACTATTAAGTGTAAGAAGATAAATGTCCAATTGTTAGCAAAAAAGACAATATAAAATGTGGACTACACGTTGGGGATATCAAAACAGGCAGATACAGAAGTTGAAATATCTGCTTAGTATCGTAACAGATGACAGAAAGCGTGACATAGAAATTCAAAGTTGTTTAACGAAAGGTACCTTCTAGAATTTAAGCATGGTAATAAAATATGAGCAATGACGAAGAAAATTGGAGAAAATGGAACCGAAAGAAAATTAACATTAGGATGCGACAGCTGAAATTTCTGGGACACATAATGAAGAAGGAGGGCATGGAAAATCTGATACCTACGGGACAGACAGATGTCAAAAGGCACTGAGGAAGACAATGCATAACCTGTCGGAAGAGGGCTTGGGAGACGTAACAGAATGAAAACGTTTATGTAGTTGATAGCCGAGACGAGACGAGATGAGCTCAGATCAGGTCAGGTCAGGTCAGGTCGATCCTTCTCCTTGCTCGTTGTATGCGGTTCATATTTTATTCAGGTGTTTTGAACAAGCATACAAATTAGTGGTACTTTTAAAAACACTAGAACCACGCATGCGCTTTACCTAAATTGCAAATGGCGGCTCCGACCGGGCAGACGAGATATCGAGGCCTATTAGCCATAGGTATATTAAAATTATTTGGTCCTATTTCAGCATAGTTTATTAAGAGCTACAAGGAGCAGGAGATCGCTAACGTCCTGAGGTGACGACGACGACGACAAGAAGAAGAAGAAGAAGAAGAAGAAGAAGAAGAAGAAGAAGAAGAAGAAGAAGAATGCTATGGACCGAAAATAAGAGCGATCAGGAAGTTTTAATCGAAAATAGGAAAAATAAGGAAACTTATTTATTCTTACATTCAGAAAGATAGAATTGAAATTTCCTGGACAAATAATGAGGAAAGACGAGCTAGAGAATTCAGGATATACTGAAGGCAAAAGAATCAAGAAGAAATAGTTAATCTAGTTAACGAAGTTGTGTGAATGCATAGCAAAAGAGACAAAGGACAGAAGGTTGTGGAGAGTCATGTTCACCTAGCTACAGTAGGAACATGCCAGAGAAAAGAAAGAAAGATGTGCGTCCTGTAGTTCTTTTTAACACTAGTATCAGTTTTTCTATATGCTAAATAATTTCTTCGCAGTTGAAATTGAGACATGACGAAACAGACTGGTCGAGATCCACTGGTTTAGACCTACACAGAATCGGATTTTGTGGAGAACCATGATAGGTTTTGTTTGGTTTGGTTTATTTTGTTTTACCGCACATCAACCTCAATGGGTTATTTAATACCGAAAAGATATATTTTTTTTTTAAATGTATAGCTGGTAATAGTTTTTCTTCAAAGATTTATTGCTGGTAATACTATTTTTACAAAATATGTCTGGGATTAAAACCCATTTTTACACTTTCATAGTGTTTTGACCCCACTTTAGGGGTTAACTATTTGCCCATAGTTGGGACCCTAACAGGTTGCTACCACACCGGCTCAGGGTGGGTCTGGGAACACCAGCAATTAAGAGGTGGTTCCACGTTCCACAAAAACTCCTGATCAGAGGCCTTGCTGTTGGACGTAGTTTATCGTCTTACCCAGGATGCGGATGTAGTTTATCGTCTTACCCAGGATGCGGATGTAGTTTATCGGGACGGGCCATGATAGCGCTTGAACTGAAAGGATACGTCACTTAACAAAAGAATCTATATATATGGTTTCAATGAACGGTTGTCGGTTTGAATTTGTTTCCCTTCAACATATGTTTAACCCTCTGCCACCAACAAAGCTCCTGGTTATTTGAGCCAGAACATCAGTATTTCACGATATATACCCGCACAACACACTCGGTTTGACTATATGGCTCGTAAACACACTGAAAATTTATACAAGTTATCCACCGGCCGAACAATAGCAGCAATATTCAACTTCCCAACACATTTTTCTCTTTATATTCTCATTCAGACGAACCGGATATTAATGTTTGCACTGATAAACAATGTTGTTGCAGCTGTAACGTGTTGGTACTGTTGCCAGGACAGAGCTTCTATCTAAATCACAGCATGCTGAATAAAGACAAGTGCACGGGACGATAGAACAGGCCAATTCGAAATATAAACTTCAATCAGTCAGGCCGTATATATTTCCTTTTCTTTTTTACAGACCTGTACAGTAAAAAATACCATATATATATATATATATATATATATATATATATATATATATATATATATATATATATATATAATATGAATTTATAGGTCTGATGATCGTGATTACGATTCCAATGTAATAAATTATAACCATGGAATATTAGTGTTTGAACCTTTTATATATATATATATATATATATATATATATATATATATATATATATATATATATATATATATATATATGAAGAAGATGTTTCCTAATATTCTCATGTGTTCTTAAATATTAGAAGGTATCAAAAGTATTTTCGTTTATTACAGACCATTCATATAATATAGCATATTAAATAAATATGTAGCCATATTAGAAATTATATTTTTATAAAAAAAATATTTTTTATGTTTCCAATAATTTTGTCATGTCTGTTTGTTAAAGTTTATATATAAATATATATATATATATATATATATATATATATATATATATATATATGTGTGTGTGTCTGTCTATATATATATATATATATATATATATATATATATATATATATATATATATATATGCCTGTGCGTTTGTGTGTGACAGAGAGTGAGTTTGTGTATAAAATTTAAGAAAAAAATATATCTAAAAGGACAATATGAAAAAAGACCAGTGAAAGGTAATCGTACGTAAAACATGTGGGGCACCTTGCTACTTCAGGACAGAGAATTAAAAGGTTAGAGAGGCCAAAGATCATCTTGAATAAGTTGGAAAATCACCCTGAATAATGTACATATATTTGTACTTTATTCCAACACTTCATGACCTTCCGATACTTAGCTTTGAATAATTAATGATGAACATGTCATTTTCCTTTATGATTGATTTCATCACCATTCTTCTGTTAAGCTTAGAGAGTAATTATACTTTCTTATTGCTCAAAGCAGAGTCCAATAGTATTATAAAAACCTCGGAGAATTCCAGTAAGATATCTTTAATCATTTCTAAGATGCGACAGTTCAGAGCTTAATCTGACAAATGGACAATTTTGCTTTTACGAGATTTGGACAATTTTGCTGTTACACCACGTATATCTATCTATCTATCTATCTATCTATCTATCTATCTATCTATCTATATTTGAATAAAAACAGACCACTTTAAGGTTCCATGTAATAAGTTATTTCACCACAACCCCTTTAACAGGGCTCTGGATCATCAGACTTTTACTTCCAAAGGTTGAAATGAAAATATATATATATATATATATATATATATATATATATATATATATAAAAAATATTAGAAAAATTCAGCGTTTCACTCCTTCATGCGCATGTCTAATCACATCGACGTAAAAAAAAAAAGTTTACACTCTGTCATAGATTTATATATATATATATATATATATATATATATATATATATATATATATATATATATATGTATGTATGTATGTATGCATGTATGTATATATATATATATAAAAATTAGTTTTGTAAAGCAGTTACATTAAGTAGGTTTTTGATAATGTTTATGCTAAATGATTTTATTTTAATTTTAATGTTGAATTCTCGGACAAGTTTTATTTTTGTTTTATATTTCCCTTTCTTTTTTTTTTCACGTTCAACAGTTGTCTCCCTTCTTAGCTAATTTTTGCCATTGTTTCTCATTTGTTAAGAACTTCCTTTTATTCACTGGATTTCGTTTTGATTTTTCCTTCATTTTGCCTTGCTTTTTCAACCATTTCATTCGTAACACGCTCAAAATTTTCCTTTAATCATCATCATCATCATCATCATCTTCTTCTTCTTCTTCTTCTTCTTCTTCTTCTTCTTCCACTCGCTATTATTAATTTGCTTATTTTCTCAATAAATCTATTGATCGAATCATTATTTAATCTATATTTTCCTTAATTTAGAAAAATGATTTTTTTCCTTCGTATTTTTTCTTATTTCTTTTCCTTGGCAAACAATCTTGAAGGAGATTCATTATAGACAAGATAATTAAGGAATGTTTTAATCATTCAAAACGCCGGTTTAAACAATTTACTCGACTAGCAAAAGCTATTTATTTATTAGCTATGAGTTTTCAAATAGGTAATTAGTTTGTTTGAACGACTGACTCTTCAATGTTTAAAACGAGCAAAGATTTCAATCATGGCGAAAGTTTCACTCTATTTTCGATTCTTTTATTTTCATCTTCTCATTAATTTCATATTCCAGCCTTTCTTTTTCTTTCTTTCTTTCTTTCTTTCTTTCTTTCTTTCTTTCTTTCTTTCTTACAATCGCTCCCTCTCTTCAGTTATTTCTTTTATCCGCGCTCCTTTTCTTTCTTTATTTTATTTCTTTCTTTCTTTTTTCTTTCTTTCTTTCTTTCTTTCGCTCCCCCTTTCTTTTTCTTTTATCCGCGCTTTTTTCTTTCTTTCTTTCTTTTTTCTTCTTACAATCGCTCCCTCTCTTCAGTTATTTCTTTTATCCGAGCTCCTTTTCTTTCTTTCTTTCTTTCTTTCTTTCTTTCTTTCTTTCTTTCTTTCTTTCCTTTCAGTTATTTATATTATCCGCCCTTTCTTTATTCAGTTATTTCTTTTTTCTTTCTTTCTTTCTTCCGCGCTCCCTTTCAGTTATTTCTTTTATCCGCGCTCCTTTTCTTTCTTTCTTTCTTTCTTTCTTTCTTTCTTTCTTTCTTACAATCGCTCCCCTCTTCAGTTATTTCTTTTATCCGAGCTCCTTTTCTTTCTTTCTTTCTTTCTTTCTTTCTTTCTTTCTTTCTTTCTTTCTTTCTTTCTTACAATCGCTCCCTTTATTCAGTTATTTATTTTATCCGCGCTCCCTTTCTTTCTTTCTTTCTTTCTTTCTTTCTTTCTTTCTTTCTTTCTTTCTTTCTTTCTTACAATCGCTCCATCTCTTGAGTTATTTCTTTTATCCGCGCTCCTTTTCTTTCTTTCTTTCTTTCTTTCTTTCTTTCTTTCTTTCTTTCTTTCTTTCTTACAATCGCTCCCCTCTTCAGTTATTTATTTTATCCGCGCTCCCTTTCTTTCTTTCTTTCTTTCTTTCTTTCTTTCTTTTCTTTCTTTCTTACAATCGCTCCCTTTCTTTATTTATTTATTTTTCTTTCTTTCTTTCTTTCTTTTCTTTCTTTCTTTCTTTCTTTCTTTTCTTTTTCTTTCTTTCTTTTCTTTCTTTCTTTCTTTCTTCTTCTTTCCCTCTCTTTCTTCAGTTATTTATTTTATCCGCGCTCCCTTTCTTTCTTTCTTTCTTTCTTTCTTTCTTTCTTTCTTTCTTTCTTTCTTTCTTTCTTACAATCGCTCCCTCTCTTGAGTTATTTCTTTTTATCCCTTTTCTTTCTTTTTTCTTTCTTTCTTTCTTTCTTTCTTTCTTACAATCGCTCCCTTTCTTCAGTTATTTCTTTTATCCGAGCTCTTTTCTTTCTTTCTTTCTTTCTTTCTTTCTTTCTTTCTTTCCCTTTCTTTCTTTCTTTATTTTATCGCTCCCTCTCTTGAGTTATTTCTTTTAATCGCTCCCTCTCTTTTATTTCTTTTATCTTTTTCTTTCTTTCTTTCTTTCTTTCTTTCTTTCTTTCTTACAATCGCTCCCCTCTTCAGTTATTTCTTTTATCCGCGCTCCCTTTCTTTCTTTCTTTCTTTCTTTCTTTCTTTCTTTCTTTCTTTGATATCTCTCTCTTCTTTTATTTCTTTTATACAAACATTTTCTTTTATTCGAACTGTTTCTCTTTCATCTTTCTTTAATTCGATATTTCCTTCTCTTCCAAGACTGGCAAAATAAATCCAACAGACAACGAATGCCTATCATGTATGATTATAATCATGTATGATTATAAGCCGTTCTAATCTTCGTATACTTGCTTTACTTTCTGGAGAAAATAAATAAATTGTCCAACATTTGGATATTTTTTTACTAAGTTGGTTCTTGATCTAAGCTTTCGGCTCACATCAGCCATCTTCAGAGTGGTTATACGGACATTGAAACAAAGATATTCACCATCAAAGATGACATTCTGTTATGTTGATATAGAAGATTATGCGACAATAACGGTTGCGGAATATCAGACGCAGGTTGTAAATTCATGATGTGGTTCTATGACGTCGTACCACGTGAGAGACCGAAATATTAACAATAGAACCATATGTCTAGATGCAATGTAATGTGCTATAATTAGTTTGAAATGAAATTTTGTCTGTGGTTTGCTTTGTTTTAGTGTAGATGACCTCCAATATCTGAAGGTTCTTTTTTATTGTAAGTATGGTTGTTTTGCTTTTCTCCCGAAATTAAAGCAACAATACGAAATTTAGAAAGGCTCATGATAAACATAATAGACATTCATTGTTTGTTATACTTAACAATATGTTTGAATATATATATATATATATATATATATATATATATATATATATATATATATATATATATATATGGGGGTGCGTTTGTAAGTGTGTGCGTGAGTATGTGTATGTGTGCGCGCGTGTGTATATCGGTCTAAAAATATGTATATTCCTATGCAAAAATTTATATCTTTTCCGTTGTTATGTAACATGAGACATTCGACGAAGCCTTTTAAGCAAGCCTGCCACATGTTTTCATAACAGCAGAATATCTTGTGAATGAGTAGGAGAACCAGGCTGCCGATACGCAATAATAAAAGCCAAAACAGTAGAAAGCAGAATGAGATCGCACGCGTGTGTGTGTGCGCGTGTGTGTGTGCATAAATAAACTGTTCCTTGATCTAACCTTTCGGCTCAAATGAGCCATCTTCAGAGTGGTTATATGGACATTTAAACAAAGATATTTGCCATCAAAGATGATATTCTGTTATATTGACATAGAAGATCACTATGCGACGATAACGGTCGTGGAATACTAGACGCAGGTCGTAGATTCGAGATGCGGTTCTATGACGTCGTACCACGCGAGGGAACGAAATAACAACAACAGAACCAAAATGTCTAGATGCAATGTAAATCAATGACGAATAGCAATCTTCCATGACAACAGAACAGAACATCATCTTTGATGTTGAATATCTTTGTTTAAAACTCCGTATAACCACTCTGAGGATGGCATACGACCAACATAATAGATATTCACTGTCTGTTATATTTAACAATATATATATATATATATATATATATATATATATATATATATATATATATATATACATGTGGTGTGTTATATATGTCCAAATATTTTTTAAAGTTTTTACATTTTATATTTTAAAGTTTTTATATTTATATTTTAAAGTTTTTACATTTTTCTATTTTTAACTACATTTTCTATTCTCTTAGATGAATTTGTTTAATCTAACAATATATCAACCCTCGTGGAGCTATTTTCTGTCGAATATAAGTCTTATGTAAAAAATCACAATTAATTAATTAATATCACCTCGTTGCAAAAGTTCGTAACCAATTTTCATTCTTCTTAATTTCTTATCGGGCATGAATTTTTGCAATTATCTAATAGATAGGTAGATATTGGTCCCGTTTAAATTATAATCAGTAAGGTAGACAGGTCTAGATTAAATCTAATTAATACGACACCTTGCAACATGTTATAGTCAGCCAAATGAAAGATGTCATCTCCTTTCCATAAATGTATTCCAACTGACTCTTTTCCCCGAAAGAGATAAGCAAAGCGGATAGAGATCAAAAGACTCATTTATAACTGAAACAGCAAGCTAATAAAGACCTACTTCCATTTTCCTTGTAGACTGTGATTAATTATTGACATTTATTAAAATTTATGTAATTTCTTTATAGCAGCTATGTGTCTATTTCTAACAATATTTTAAATAATAAGACTGTTTATGATGAAAAAGACATATCGACAAAATCTTTTTAGACAGGATAAGAAATGCGAAAATCGGATTGAAAGGCTACGATTGATACATAAGTATCAATCTTTGGCAATGTTTATTGTTTCTTAAAACAATAAACATTGCCAAAGAATGAAGGTTGTTAAAAAGGCGGTTTCATGGGGGAAAAAACGTCCTTTTAACACTACATCTTAATACAGGCACGCTTGTCCGTGTTTGCCGATTTATTTTACGGATTATCAACCTTTTGTGGATTATTTAATGCCAAAACATATTTTTCGATTGTAAGAATAGTTTTTTTTTTTTGTTTTTTTTTTGCCAGTGAATATTTCTCTAACAAATTTTTGGAGATAACAATGAGTTTTTCAAATACAAGTGCTGATATTTAACCCATAACTGGGGGATGGTTCTAATTTCAGTCGGGTTCGTTATATTCCCTAACGCACAAATACCCTTGGGAAAGATATGAATCCACATCTCCACCCACTAGCTATGGATTGAATAACAAAACAGTCGGGGTACTTTAGCCTTGGATGGCAACTAGTCTACCGCAGAAAGAAATGGCATCTTACTGCGGGAAAAATCTTCTGCCTAGTGAGTCATGAATCGAAATCCTAAGCGTGGATCAAGTATGACACTTGACTAACTTTACCTTTTCTCCCTCCATCTATGGGTTGAATAACAGGACAGAATGCTTCATATAGCCTTGGTTGGCAACCAGTCTACTGTAGAAAGAAACGGCAACCAACTGCGGGAAAATCTGCTTAATCAATCATGAATCGAAAGAGACATGATCCCCTAAGAGTGTATCACAAATGGCACTTGACTGACTTTATCTTTTCTCCTTCCATCTATGGGTTGAATGACAGGACAGAATGGGTCATATAGCCTTTGTTGGCAACCTGTCTACGGCAGAAACAAACTGCAAACTACGGCGGAAAAATCTTCTGCCTTGCCAGTCATGTATCGACAGATACTTGATCACCCCTAGCATCTATCACGTATGGCTCTTAACGGACTGAAGAAAATGTTATTTTTATGGAAGTTTTACTTGCTGAAATTGTCGCAAAAGTTCCATTTCCGGCGAAAAAACCTACAAAATACGACAAATTAAACTATTTTCGTTCGTTTATAAAAAGATTGAAAAGCTAGATAAGCCTTTGAAGGCACCTACACTCACAGGACGAATATCAGGTCATTTATAAGAATCTTTAACGAGAGCAGATCGTAGTTGAATCATTGATTATTTTTTTTACGGCTTATCAACCTTTTGCAAGTTATTTAAAGCCAAAAAATATTTTTAGATTGCAAGAATTTTTGGAGATAATAATGATTTACTGATACAAGTCCTACTATTTAAGCCATAGCTGGGACGGGGAGAAGAAGATGGATTCATACCTTTCCTAAGGGTATTTGCGCGTAAGTCAATATAACGAACCCAACTGGATTTCGAACTCGGCTCTCTGATTTCCAATTTCGAACCGTTATCCATTACACCACTCGCACATCCAAGTATACAGCACCTGGTATTCCCAAGCGGTCATCCATCTCGACGTTGCTTAACTTCGGTGATCTTACGAGAACCGGTGTTTCAATGTGATGTGGCTGTAAGCCCGAATGAATGATAGATAAAAAGAAAGAAAGAATGAAAGAAGGGAAGAGATAAAAAGAAATAAAGAAAGAATGAAAGAATGGAAGAAGGGAAGAGATAAAAAGAAAGAAAGAATGAACGAATGGAAGAAGGGAAGAGATAAAAAGAAAGAAAGAATGAAAGAAGGGAAGAGATAAAAAGTGAGAAAGAAAGAAAGAAAGAAAGAAAGAAAGAAAGAAAGAAAGAAAGAAACGTGATTGTTACAAAGTAAACGAAAGAAAGGAAGGCGGGAATAAAAGAAGAATAAAATCAAAGAAAGAAAAAAGAAAGAAAGAATTAGAAAAAATAAATGAAAAAGAATTAGCAAAAGAAAAAGAAAAAAGGTGGAAGGGAATAGAAAGAAAGAAAGTAAAAAGAAAAAGAAAGAATTAAAAATTAAAGAAAATATTAGCAAATGTAGAAAAAAAAGGAGGAGGGAAAGAAAAAGAAAGAATTAGAAAAAAATTAAAGGAAAAAAAAATTAGTGCAAAAAGAAAGAAAAGAGGAAGGAAAATAGAAAAAAAGAAAGAAAGAATGAAAGAAAAAGAAATAAAGAAATAAAGAAAGAAAGAAAGAAAAAGAAAGAAAGAAAGTTCGAATTTAAGAAATAAAAAGGTGATAAGAGAGAAATAATGAAGACGTAAAAAGAATGAAAGAAAGGAAAAATAAAATGAAAGGAAGATTGGAAGAATAAAAGAGAAAAAGTAAAGAAAAAAGAAAGACAAATGATGGAAGGAAGAAAAAAAAGGTGGTGGCAATGCAGAAAGAAGGAATAGGGAAACTGAAGGAACAGAAAAAATAAATGAATGAAAGAAGAAAATAGGGGAGATGCACGAAAGAATGAATTGACGAATGAAAAAAAAAAGAAAGAACGATAGCAGAAAGAAAGAAAAAACAGATAAAGAAATAAAGAAAAAAAGAAAGAAAAAGAAGAAGAAAGAAAAAAGAGAAGAAAGAATAAGAAGAAAAGGAAACTGTAGGATGAAAGAAAGGAAGAAAATAGGAAAAAAGTAAGAAATAAAGAAAGACTGGAAGAAATATGAAAAAAAAAAATAAAGAAGAAAAAAGGACAGAAAGAAGAGGAAAGTGGACATGGCGAGAAAGAAGAAACAATAAAGAAAGAAAAAGAGATGAATACATGGAAAAAAATAAAGAAAATAAATAAAGAGAAATGAAAAGAGAAAAAAGAAAATAAAGAAAGAAAAATGGACATCTAAGAAAGAACCGAGGAAAAACGAAAAGAAAGAAAAAAAGCACCCAAGAAAGAAGAGGGCAAAATGAAAAGAAAGAAAGAAAGAAATAAAAAAAAGCACTCCAAAA